TTGGATACCAACCTGAGCTGCGTATGGATAGGAGGAGTCCGAATCAATGCCCTTATTATCGATGATGTACTGGAAGGCTCTGGTTATATATCCGCCGTTGCAGCCGTAGTTCCCGTACATAGTGGAACAGTCGACTAGGTTCTGTGCGCTGAGAGACACCAGGTTTCCAGTTTTCAGTTTCACCTGGGCTTCTAGGGCACCGACAGCACTGAAAGCCCAGCAGGCCCCACAGGCCCCCTGGAAAGCCAGAGAGATGCGCTCAGCCACTGCTGCGATGGGCACCCATGTCAGGAGGGGAACAGATTGAGCCTCCCACCTGATTTTTCACATCCGTAACACATCCTTTGTCCCTCCAGTCCATGGAGTCAGGCACTTTGCTGCCAAGCCGTGGCCTGTAGGTGAAATTCCGGTCAGGTCGATGGGGAAGTTTCAGTCCAGTTAACAAAGCAGCCACTTCCTCGCTGGTCTAGTTAAAAGAACACACACCCCCCTTCAGACTGACGTCCCCTTCGATGTACAGACTGGCCCCGAATTAAGATACAAACTCTGCGGCTCAGGTTCAACTCTTGTTCATTGATACAGTGTTTTCCTTTATGCAGTGAAACTATGAGCACACCTGAATGCTGGGGATCTCCTGGCTGACACAATAGCCCATGCTGTAGCTTTGTTTGCCGGGAACTCCGGATTCTGTGATTCTCCACGTGCTAATCCTCCTCCCACAGGACATTGCTGGGGATAGAACACAGGACTAGCGCTGCCGGAAAGTTTTCAGACAAAAACAAATGTTTTTTATCTGAAAAATGCATATTTGGGTCGACTGAAACATTGCGTGAACTCACCTTGAATTTGCAAAATTGTTTCAACCGGAAAAAAAATTCAAAACTGGTCCAAATGTTTGGATTCAAAATGACTTTTAAGATCAAATTTTACTTCCATTTTATTTATTTTTTTTTAAAAAGGTAAAATAATCTAGAAAACTAAACAAAATGTGTTGTCCGACCCTAAATGAATTGTTTTCATCTTTTTTTCATTTCACGTTTGTCATTTCAGGTCCATCTGAAACTAACTTTTTTATTGATTGATTGATTGATTTTTCAGCCACCAAACCACAAAAAATCTCTTCTTCACATAGCTCTACCCAGGAGCACCAGCATTGCCAAGTCTCTTGATTTTATTGAGAGTGTCACAATATCTGTTGTTTTCCTTAAAGCACCAATGTGGGGGGGAGGGGATCAGATTGCACAAGAATTTCAGCTTGGTTTTTTTTAAAGTTTCCATCTCTTGTATAGCTGTGGAGAACTGCAGGAAAACATAACCCTTAAAAGTGCAAAACCCAGAGGCAAATAAAAAGAACCCCCAGACTTAGACTTTGTTTTTAATCCCAGAATTTTTAAGCCACCCCATGATTTTAGGGGCCTGACTCCTGAGTTCTGAATGCTTGGCGTTGGCAGTAACGGGATCTGAAGCACAAGCCCCTGGAATTTCAGTTAAAGGAGCAACTTCTTTAACTAGCAATGGCCTAGGGTGACCAGACAGCAAATGTGAAAAATCAGGACAGGGGGTGGTGGGTAATAGGAGCCTATATAAGAAAAAGACCCACAAATCGGAATGGTCCCTATTAAATAGGAACATCTGGTCATCCTACAATGGCCTAGCAGACAGGTTGTGTGTTATTCCACACGTGACATTTCTCATAGGGGTAAGGGAGGGTGGCAGACATAGTAGGGTAGAGAAGCAGGGTGCAAGTTCACGCTGCTTGGAGGATGCCATTTGATACAGAAACATGCTGGGGGGTGGAGTCACACCAGCAGCGGGCTAGCAGGGGGTGGAGCACCTGCACTTAAAAAATCAGGACTGCCCCCCCTCCCCCCATGGCAGCTTTCCCACACACACTCCTGACCCAAGCAAGTAGAACAAAGATTTGCACAACTCTCGGAAGTGGTGGGCAGGTTACTGCTGGAGGACGCAGAGGGGTGCTGTGGTTTGTGGGCCTACCTCTGCAGGGCTCATAGAGAACCTGGATTGGCTGGAGCTTATTCTGCCCCTGATTCATGGCACCCCCAGGGAAACACAGATAATTCCCAGATGCCCTGTCACTTGGTCTATTTTTTTAACTTACCATGTCTGCCAGGTGGTTCATGCCCAGCTCATAGGAATGCAGCCCCAGTGAGTGCTCGAGGTTATGCAGCATAACGAGCTTGAGGTTCTTTTCCCAGGTCACGCGCCGTTCCCCTTCCTCTTTCTGGAACCAAAGCACAGCCCCCACGTTACTATGCAGTAGCACTGCACATCTGCAGTATAAATGGGTTATAGTTCTACAGCTGGATACCTGCTGACCTGAGGGGAGATGGTGACGGAAATCCCCCTCCCCCACTTTAACCCCACAGCTGCACAGAGCCCACCTTGTGGCTGTATTGTTTGCCATAGGTTTTCTTCCAGAGCTCCCAGTGGTTATCCAGCGTCGGGTCTGTGTGTAGATGTGCAGTAGCAGCAGCAGCAAGAGAGGCCAAGACGATACAAGCCAACAGCTTCATTCTGCTCAGCTGGGGGGGGAGAAAAGAGCACTCTGGTGAGAGATAATATCTGTGTGGTGAAGTCAAGTGTCTCAATTTCATCCACTCAGTGATGGTGCAAGAGATCTGACACTGACTTACTGAGATTTCTCCTCTCTCTCTGCCATGAGCAAAGTGTCAAGAAGCAAACCTTGACCCTGCAGCCGCTCTCACACTGAGCCATCCGGCCGCTTGTACCTCTTGGGGGCGATGGGGCAGGGGAAGGGGCTTCCTGGAACCTCATACGACAACAACAGACTTGAAAGGAAAACAGAGCTGGGTCAATGGATAATCTCACCCGGCTACTTCTACAGCTCCTGAACTGGATCTTGGACCTGGCCATGGGCATCAGAGCCTGGGATAAGGTGATCCGGGGCGGGAGGGAGGGATAGAGCTAGCGGAAGTCAGAGACGTTCCCAGCTGGGGTGGGAATTGATGTAGCTTCACTGAGGTCAATGAGTTTGATCCCTAGCTGGTGTAAACTGGTGTCACTCCATTGTGGTCACTGGAGCGAAGCAGATTTACACCAGCTGAGGATCTGGCCCAGAGGGATTTAGGTGAAGAGGACTTGGATTTTCAAAGGAGCTCAAGCCGTTTTCAAGGGAGTTCGGCACCCAAATCCCACTGACTCTCACCTAACTCCCCTAGGTTCCTCTGAACACTCCAGCCTAGAAAGGAATACGGAGGGGTGTATGGGGCTAGAAAGAAAGAGAGAGAGACAGAGAGAGAGTATCAGAATAGATAGATAGAGAGGGTGTATGGCGAGTGAGAGAGAGGGTGTTGAATAGATAGATAGGGGGCGTTATTGGAAGAGAGAGAGGTTTATATGGGGATAGAAAGACAAGACTGATACACGCGGGTGTCTGCAGATGCAAACTCTCTACAAGCAAAATACAAAACGCCATTTCTTGATTTTACTTCCTCAAACACATTGTTCCAAACATGACAAAGAGGAGATTTAAAGTACAAGGGGAAAAAGAAAAAGCCAAACATAACTGATGGGAGTTCACCCAGTGGAGATTTCTAGGCAGGAATCCTGAACTGATCAGCAGGGAGCAAGAATTCCCCTAAATTCTCCTCCCAAGGTTGGCTCCTGAGTGAACCCAACACCCTTCCTGCTCTGACTGCATGCCAAGAAGAAGGAGTTCGATTTGCCCTGCCAGACTCATCACATGGGCCTGTGAATGGGGAAATGGCAGGACCTCTTGTTTCACTTTACTGTGACTGTATCAAACTAGGGATGTTAACTACGGCTACAGGCTGATTTTCAGTCCCCAGCCCCGGAGCACTAAAATCAGGTGTTTTTCCTTCCCTTCCCAGACCCTACAGCACATGATTTGGAGAGTTAAAAAATAAACTAGTAGCGTCAACATTTTCAAAAGCTCAGACAGGGGCAAACAGTCGCTGGGACCTCCCTTTTGGGGTTTAAGTGATCATCAGTATAATGGTAAAACCTAGAGATCCCAGCTGAGATCAGGGCCCTGTTGTGCAGGGTTCTGCATGAACACAGAGGGAAAAACAGAGCCTGCCTCCCTGAGCTCACAAGCTAAATAGACAAGACAGACAAAGGGCAGGGGGAAACTGAGGCACCGATCAGGGAAGCAATTTGCCCAAGCTCACACAGCAAGGCAGTGAACATGAACACACCTACTCTGCTTAGATATCCA